AAATGTATCAGTACTGCACCATGTACTTTATAATTAATTTAACAGTACTAAATTAAGAACAAGTTTAAAATTTATCGGGGCACCATGTTCTTGTCATACAAAAATTAACACTTATCTTGATAATTTTGTACGGTTTATAATTAATCCCTTAACTTCCGGTTAAAAGTTATGCAAAACCTTATGCACCGTTTTCCACGTAGGTGATATATTGGGGGGTGGGGGAAGAAAAAGAATAAATAAGCAAATCCTATAAAATAAGTAAATCCTTTGCAAACACCGTCAAGATCCTTATATTGCATTCCAAGGCCTTCGGAATAATTTTATGGATAGCAGTGCGCAGAAAAGATCGTACTTTGGAAAGGCTTATCTGTACGTCCGGGGCAATCATCGTTTTGGTTGAGCGAGACGTTTATATACCTCGGCGGCACTTAAGAAGTTGAAGTCGTGCTGTAGCTTTAGAGTCAAAGTATAGTGTTATTGAATTCAATACATTGTTATTGTATAGAAGGGGGAAGCGATGAAAATTATGATTGACTATTGTGTCTCAAATAATGAAAGTTTGAGAAGCACTGCCTTGTACACAATAAATGGGAAAATGTTTGAATGATTTAATGATTAAAAGTAAAATGATTTGGGGAAAATGTTATTTTTAAGAAAAGTAACTCTTTTGTTGTGACGGAAAGACCAAAAAATATACATAGTATTGAAAATACTAAGAAAGTAAAGTTCAGGATAATTTTCTCATCAGTAAACTTAACAATTGTTTTTGTGCTAAAATTTGTTTGAATTGAGCAGGTTTCTGTAAGTTGCAAAAGGGCATTAGCTAATTTGTTTTTAGTTTGAACAACACATTTGCAAATCTTTTTATGAATAAAATATATCTCTTCTAATTAGGCATATTTTTATAAATCTAATTTTACGTTTTTACGTGGAAGAATTTTTAACATTTAATCTTTTAAGCATTACTATTGGCGCAACAAACACACACATATATAAGCATTATTAATTACTACAACCAATACAGAAAAAAACAGAAGATACTGCAAAAGGGGAGGCAAGGAGATTAAAACGTTCGACGGCATTAATTTTAATTTCCCTGCCATCTAAAGGAAATAACAACGTCCAAAAGATAAAGGATTATATAAAAAAAATTAATTGTTCATAAAATACGTATTAGTGTGCATAAAGAGAGAATCTCTGTTTACCGAAGATACAGTTCTTTTGAAGAAACTGTTCTTATGTTGTTTTTTTTTTAATATTTACTAACGATTTAAAATATTTATAAGGAATATTTAAACTAGCAATTAACTATTAAAAGGATATGTTTCGATAATCTTATTACAAGGAGAAAAAAATAATCCTTGTCAAAGTCTTAATTAAGAACACTGTATTTTCCTCCATCTTTATTAGCAAGTGGATTTTTCAACTATATTCATCTTGAAAATCTCTTTAATAGTGTGCATCATGGGGAAAAAAAATGGAACAAAAAGAGAAACATAAGCCACGTAGGATCAGTGGTAGAGTGTATTTAAAACAATCACTAAGCATTTTTTATACTAATAAAAGAAATAGTTTGTATTCGTATGATTGCGTCTCAGAAATAGAACAAAAACTGAGCTACTTTGAAGCCTGAATTTTGGCCCCTTAAATTTTCCTTATGATATAGAATTTACTTAAAAATAAATTTTAAGCTATTTACCATAGTTCTGGCAAAAAGATGTCATAATTCCTTATGTCTATAAAGGGTAATTATATAAAGGGTACCACTGTAAGATTTCCCAGATGATGATTTCTGTTGGTAATTTCGGACACTTGTTGTAGTACAACTATACAATAAAATGTTTCCTGTCCCATTATTATTTTGCTGTTTTGTGTGTGCTCTCTGCACCATAACTCGTAACTACGACATTGGCGACCCTACATTCCTGTGTGATTCCGAGTCGTTTCTGTATCCCCTACACACCCTGCAAGTTTCTCGGTGTGGTAGAGAATTACCCTGTATATGATGCAAAAGTACATTTCTGTAGTTCTGGGGGTTGTTACACGTTTGTTTTTCAAAAAATTTATTTACCGCTATTACGAGTAATAACTCGTTTGAGCTAGAATTATTATTTTTTTCCAAATACATCGTTGCGTAAGAAGTTATTTATTCAATAGTTGTGAATTAATTTAAGCAACACGTTTGTATATATTTTTATAGTCCTTGATTAGGTGTGTGTTTGGTTTCTCTCTTTCGGATAGTTTTTACTTTTTTAATTCATGCTTTTGCACTGTCATTTTACTTCTTTTAGCATGGAAGTTACATTTTTTTAGTAGCCTGTTTTAAATAGTTAAGTTGCTTGTCTGTTAGTTAGTAACTGTGTTTAAATAGTAAAACTGAAAAAGAGAGAATATATAGTTTTTTTAAAGTTTATCCAGTACATATTATTTTGAAACATATTTTTACTTTTTCCTGTAATCTTAAATTGAATTGATGTGTTTGATTATTTTTAAATAAATCCACACCTATTTTTTAGCGTTTCATATTTTTTTTACTTCACGTAATATCAATTTTGACATTCCTATTTCAGTGGAATATTTCTGACATATCTTAATTGTTTTGAAGTATTAATAATAGTTAAATAGTTTCATCAATATTAGACAAATTTTTTTAACAATTTTAGACAAAATTTAGATTTAATTTAATGTATGGTGCCGCACTAAAAAGAGAAACCTGCTTTCTGTGAATGTGCTGGTTAGATTGATGAACCCTGTTAATAACTGTTCATAACCTGCCATTAGAAATAAAAAAACAAAATGTTATAATTTCTATTTCTTTAACATCAATCTGCTTTATATTAATTTGTTTTATTAACTGCACATTTCTTGCCTATTAGAGAAAGGCATAACAATACCATGTTTGATGTTGCATAGTTTATAATTTCTCATTCATTTCAAGATTTTCTTACTTAACGTATGCATAAATAGTATGTGTTCAGAACCATTCGTGATAGAGTTTCATAAAATCTGAGCCTATTTTATCTATTTTAAATATATATTTTTTTATTTATGTTATTTTTCTTTTTCAACGTAAAGCCGCAATACTTATTGAACTACTTTAATTTATTTTGTTGACTACTTCTAAAAACAATTACCCATCTTGTGACCTAAAGAAGACACTCAGTTATTCGACCGAGTTGTTAAATCTGTTGTAAATCAACTTTGGAAACATTATTCCTTTACACCAGGGGTCGAAAACCTATGGCATTCGTGCCAGAGGTGGTAGGCGGTATATTTTTCAGTGTCAATGTGTACACTTTGCGAAGTTATCACATAAATTCAATAATTGACAATTGATTCATAATTGTTCTGATGCACATCGTGCGCTATAGACCGCTTTCAATTTTACAACATATTCTTAGTTTTCCTATCAAAACTTGCACTTCCTTTGTTTAATTATTATGACGATTCATACCTATATATTTAATTTAAATTATCTCTAAAAAAGCTTATTGGGCGGGGTTTTCAAGATCCTTAGACGAATGAATGATTATGAATTCATACGACAGAAAAAGATCAGGCTGTATGCAGATTTCTCGTCATGTACCTAGCGTATAAACTAAACACCAATTCCCATTTTAAAATGATGATAAGTAATGTGGCTGGAAAAATAACTGTTACTGGATATAAAAAATATATATTGTCAAACAATTGGACCCAAATTTAAGACGATCTAATGTAGTTTCGTAATTTCAAATTGTGTAGCTCCCAAAGGCAAACCTTTCACAGATATTGAATATATAAACATGTATTCATAGGTTAATTAATATGTAATAAAACTTTAGGTTTGTATTCTTGATCTCTACTTCCTAAATCTTCATTTACTATCGCAAGAATCAAATTGTTTCAAATATTTCCCAATATGTGGCCACCAGAATCATATTAATAGAGTGATTTGAAAACCCACAGCTGCAAGGTTGTCGACCCCTGCTTTACACGATTTGGAACTCAAACCAATTTAGAATTCCCTGACTTATTTTGTTTCTGGAACGTAAACTAACAGTCAATTAAGAAATTTATACCCTATGCTCTTGAGACCAGTGGTAAGGACTAGGCCCAGGACAATGGTAAGGATATTTTAATCCTGAAGATTCCTATCATTAATACAATCCAATGATTGGTTTGTCTGTTTACTATGCGCAGGAACAAAGCTCAAGGACACTTCTTTCAAATCATCGGATTGTAAATAAGGAGTTTTTCTTTCCATTAAGGATAACTTCATATTCATTGTATAACAATCGAAAGTGCGAAGAAGTTCTATATCTTTGGGAAATTATCGGTTATATTTGATTCGAGTGCTTAAATGTCAGTGAGTGCTTCTTCAAGTTTTCGCCAACATGAACATTGGTGATATTGTCAATCTATATAGTTGTTTTTCTGGACCAAAATCCATCTGATTTTGATACTACAACACAGAAAAGTTTGTCAAGTTGTGTAAACAATATCCTAAATAACGAAAAATAATTCATCTCATGAATATCAAACGGCACATTGACAACCAACCAAATTCCTCTTTCCGCGTCACTTTTCACTTTTGCCTACTTCTATCTACATGAAAAAAAAAGGGATTCTATCAGTTGGGAAAGCCATTATTGCTTATCTTCTTTCAGTGGAAATAACAAATTCAAAGTTTCCAGCATTCTAGCAAAAAAAGAGAGAGAAGCCTAGCTAAACTATCAAAGGAAACAAGTAATATAAAAAAAATTAAGTCAATTCCTACTTAGGTCAAAAAAAGAAAAATTTTATATTTTAGTTACTCTTTATTAAATAATTACAATTTATATACATATGACAGAATCACGCTATAAAGTAGCAAAATAGAAAGCGATTTTCCATTTTCCTTTCTATTTAGGGCGTTGGACTATTATTTTTTTGTTTGTTACTATTTATATTCATTAATTAAATTCAATTATTCCAATAAAATAGTATAGTAAAAAAAATCACATTCTCAGAAATTAGGCCATCCCAGGTGGGATTCTAACCCACGCCCTTTAAATTAGAAGTCCAATGCGCTATCCATTTCGCTACAGAGACACGACGAGCGATTTTCCTTTTTATATATGGTGTTGGACTATTATTTTGGCTTGTTATTATTTATTCATTAATTAAGTAGAACTAATGAATTAATATTTGAAATCTTTATTAACATCAAGTGCCATCCACTACAAGTTTTAAAAAAATGTATTTGAACTTGAGTGGATGTATAAAAAGTATTTTATTAACGATTTAAAATTTGAACAAGTATATATATATATATACACATATAGGGAGAAAGTGAACTAATAATAGGAATTAAAAAATAGCATTATATTCAAACAAACTATTTTTTTTAAGCAGATTTCCACTACTTGAAAACTGTAATTTGACATTTTATAGCATGATGCTATATTTAGCTTCATGGAATACTATAAATGTATACATTCAAAAATTAGTTTCAAGTTTTCTTAACACAATTTGTGTTCTGTTTTGCTGAGTGTTGTTGTTGACACTAGTTTAATTAACGTGGGCCTATTTTATACGTTTTAGATAGATTTTGGAATATAGTGATTGCTGATTTCATTCTTTTCACCACAAAGATGGCTGATGATCAGTTACTGAAATTAAGAATTTAGAAAACATTTTATGAAATTCTTCATGATCCTTAAGCTTTTTTTCCTGCATGTTTATTTGCTTTAGATTATTTATCTGAGATACAGCAGCGATGAAACTTATGCTATTATTTATTTCTCTGTTATAGTTTGTAATCAGATTTTCATAGTTCATTTCTATTTATGTGTTTCTGATATATCAACCATCTGTTTTTTAATTCAAATTATGTTAATCATTCTTTCTCTTACTATCAAACATTGCAACTCGCTGAAAATTATTTAAACAATTCACAGGAACAATTTAAAATTTTTTGGTTAAACTATCTTGCATCTCGAAAAAAAAAATACTTTTGCTAGCAGAATTTTATTTTGTATAAAAAAGTTCCGCCCATATCGGTTCCATCTAATAAGACAAGTTTTCTACTAATTAAATTACATATATTTTCATTCAATCAATTTTGAACACGCATCTGAAAACAATATTTTTCTCGGATGATATTTAGACAGACCCCGATGTAACGAATTAAGCGGGACCGAACAAATAATTCACTAAATCGGGATTATTCGTAATATCGGAGTACAAAAAAATACAATCCTTTTTACACTTACTTTTTAGAAATTCCGTAAGCAACCACACAAAAAATATCCATAGATACCGGTTGATTAAAAAAAAAGTGTGTGTGTACTTATGTACGCACGTAAGAAGTTACACTTCTTTCGCGTAATAAGATTAAAATCTTTCTAAAAATCTTGAGCATAGCAGGCTGGGCCAAGGACGAAAGGTGGTCATGAGCAGAGTTGAACAATACTTAAGTCAATAGAGAGGAAAAGCCAAACCCAAGATAATCACGATTTAAGTAAATTCAAACACCCCCGCACAGAGACAATAGGACCAATAACATGAGGGGTTTTCGGCAGACTGTATTTGGAGATGAGGTGAAACGAATGTGATACCTGAGACCTCATA